AGGGCGTGAGAGGGAGGTGAGGTCGCTCCCCCCCCGCCTCTCCCCACCCCTGCCTGCCTGGGGCCAGGGAGGGCCTTTGCAGGGTTTCCTTGCACTCCCGCCGGCCTTGCAGGTCCACCGCCGGGCCCCTGATGTCAGGGGGTGTGGCATATGCTAATTAGTTATGCTAATGAGTTCCCCTAGCTCTTTTTCTACGAAATGACCACTGGTGCCATACAATTCATGGCGGAACTTCCAAGGGCGGTTCCTAATCCCAATGTTATCGCCACCATTATAATCACCAGGTGGTGTTGTGTCCCCGACCGAAGTGCTCTTGGAGGTATATGTTGGGAAAGGCGGTCCCTTAGGTCATATAGGGCTTTAAAGGTGAGTACCAGCACTTTGACGCAGATTTGGTATGCTATTGGCAGCCAGTGCAGCATTTTCAACCCAGGTCGGATGTGCTCCCACTTGGGGAGGCCCATCACCAGCCTGGCCGCCGCATTCTGCACTAGCTGCAGCTTCCGGATCTGCGACAAAGGAAGCCCCATGTAGAGAGCATTACAGTAGTCTAGCCTTTAGGTGACCGTCGCATGGATCACTGTAGCCAGGTCATCGCGGTCGAGGAACGGAGCCAGCTGCCGAATCTGCCTAAGATGGTAAAATGCAGATCTGGCAGTGGCTGCCACCTGGGCCTCCATGGTTAGGGAGGGATTCAGGAGCACTCCCAGACTCCTAACCTCCGATGCTGGCATCAGAGGCACCCCATCGAAGGTCGGGAGAGGGAGCCCCAGCCCCGAACCGTTCCGGCTCAGGCACAGGACCTCCGTCTTCACTGGGTTTAGTTTCAGCCGGCTCAGCCTGAGCCACCCAGCCACAGCCTGTAATCCCCGGTTCAGATCTTCTGGGTTGGAGCCCGACCGGCCACCCAACATCAGATAGAGCTGGGTGTCATCTGCATATTGGTGACAACCCAGCCCATACCTCCTGGCAATCTGGGCGAGGGGGCGCATGTAGATGTTAAACAACATTGGGGAAAGCACCGCCCCCTGAGGCACACCACACTCAAGTGGGTGCCTCCGGGACTGCTGTTTCCCTATTACCACCCTCTGTCCCCAACCTTGGAGAAAAGAGGCCAACCATTGAAGGGCAAGCCCCTGAATCCCCATGTCAGCAAGACTGAGGGTCAGCAACTGGTGGTCGACCGTGTCAAACGCGGCCGACAGATCTAATAACAACAGTGCCGCCACACCGCCTCGATCCAGATGCCTCCGGAGGTCGTCAGTCAGGGCAACCAGCGCCGTCTCCGTCCCATGACCAGGGCCAAAGCCGGACTGGAGTGGATCAAGGACAGAAGCGTCATCCAGAAAGCTCTGAAGCTGTGTCGCCACTACCCTCTCAATCATGTGTAATATTTGTTCGTGTCTTGCGGCTCTCAGACACCTGATGTTTATTCTATGTGGCTCTTACGAAAGAGAGAGAAAGAGGTATTTTTCTCCCTTTCTCACAATACAAGAACTCGTGGGCACTCCATGAAATTGCTGAGCGATCGGGTTAGAACTGATAAAAGGAAGTACTCCTTCACCTAAATAATGATTAACACATGGAATTCACTGCTACAGGAAGTGGTGGTGGCTAAAAGCATGGACAGCTTCAAAAGGGAATTAGATAAGCATATGGAGCAGAGGTCCATATTAGCCATAAGATATAGATAGGGGCTCTGGGGCAAGGGATGCTCTGTATTCTTGGTGCTTGGGGTGGGTCAACAGTGGGAGGGCTTCTGCCTGGCCCCACTGGTGGACCTCCTGATGGCACTGGTATTTCTGGCCACTGTGTGATACAGAGTGTTGGACTGGATGGGCCTTTGGCCTGATCCAACATTGGCTTCTCTTATGTTCTTATATGGAGCAGAGGTTCATCAGTGGCTATTAGCCACAAGGTATAGATAGGGGCCCTGGGGCAAGTGATGCTTTGTTTTCTTGGGGCTTGGGGGGGGGGGGTCAACAGTGGGACGGCTTCTATTGTCCTGGCCCCACTGGTGGACCTCCTGATGGCACTGGTATTTCTGGCCACTGTGTGATGCAGAGTGTTGGACTGGATGGGCCTTTGGCCTGATCCAACATTGGCATCTCTTATGTTCTTACGTTAAGCAAGTTTGGCCACCCCTGTTATAGGGCTTATTTATTTCCGTATATTTATATGCCGCTTTTCTCCTGGAACGCAGACTCAAAACGGCTTGTGGACATCAAAGCCATACAAATCCAGGATTAAAGTGCTAATGGATCAAAACATTCTCACACACCCCAATTAGAGCCAAAAAAATCAAAATGGGAGACAAATACAACCCTCTGGCAATCTGCAGGACGATCTGCAGCCTCTCCCTCTTCACAGTCCCAGGTCTTTCTTATCATCTTTAGGCAGAGGCGGAGTCACAGATCTCCTGGTGGAATAAAAGGCTGGGGACCTGCTGGCCAAGATGGATGGACATTTCCCCCTTCCCCAGCATCATCATTCACAGCAGGAAAAAGATGGGTGCAGGGAAACTGGCCGGCCGGCCACTACCTCGAAGGGTTGTTCCTGTATTGCTTGTGGCGATGAAAACCCGGAATTCAGAGGAGTTTGGAGTGTTGGTTAAGTAGCTTTTGGGACCAAGGTGGAGGCTTAATCGTGAGGAGCTGCTGACGAAAACCTAAAGAAAGCAAGATAACCGTTTTGCACGTGGAAGGATTATGGCAGCCACTGTGGGGAAGGGGGAATATTCGCCTCCCAGGGCCAAATGGGCACAGGTCTGATTGCAGGCAGAGTTCTAACCATTTATAACAATAATATTAACAAGCTGTAGCCACAAGTCCATAATCATCCCAGGCCGCCTCCCTCTGTTTTATTCTTAGTAAAAGCAGAAGATCCAGAATGCTTGGAGTCAGAGTACACTTAGAGAATCAAAACATGTAGCTGAGTTTCTGTGGGTTGGACCCAGACTAACATTTCTATAGATGTCCAGATGTTTGCTCTCAGGAGTGTGATTTTCCCACCTCCCATCAAGCGGCAGCAGGGGGGGAAAAAGTCCAAATCCTATTTCTGTTTGGGGGATCATTTTGGGTTGCTGCGGGAGGGGCGGGGGAAATAGTGTTCCGTGAGTAGACATGTGAGTGTCCACAGAAGCGTCTAGTGTGGATCAGGCATGGAGAAACGCAGCTTCTGAGACTGGATCCCAAACATCTGTCCTGCTAACGGCACTTCCTTCCCCATATCCAAGAGGCTTGTGGATCAGGGAAAGGCTCCTTGAACTGGGGAAAGCAGCAGCGGTTAGTGGAGCAGATCTGTGGAATCCAACCCACCTCTTTGCCCCATCCTCTACTGAATCTAAACATGAGTCATGGAATAGATACAGATTCTCACACTGATTTGCCTCCCACCACCCCTTTCCTTTGCTGTCTCCTTTCTGTCTGATTTTAGATTGTAAGTGCCTCAGGGCAAGGACATGTCTCCTTGCACACGGTAAAACAGCCTCCGTCTGTGACTGGTGACAAGGAAGTCTTCGCTTTCTCAACACTGATTCAGGGGGGTAGCCATGTCGGTCTGAAGCAGCAGAACAAAGTCCGAGTCCAGTGGCACCTTGAAGACCAACAAAGTTTAATTCAAGGTATAAGATCTCGCGTGCAGGCACACAGAAGCTTATACCTTGAATAAAACTTTGTTGGTCTTCAAGGTGCCAGTTTGGTGTAGTGGTTAAGTGTGCGCGGACTCTAATCTGGGAGAATCCGATTTGATTCCCCACTCCTCCACTTGCACCTGGCTGGATGACCTTGGGTCAGTCACAAGCTCTGGCACAGCTGTCCTTGAAAAAGAGCAGTTTCTGTCAAGAGCTCTCTCAGCCCCACCCACCTCACAGGGTGTCTGTTGTGGGGAGGGGAAGGGAAAGGAGATGGTAAGCCGCTCTGAGACACCTTTGGGTAGTGAAGGGCGGGGTATAAATCCAATCTCCTCTTCTCTTCTTCTTCTTCTTAAAGGTGCCACCGGACTCAAACTCCATTCTCAACATTGCCACTCAACTACAATTCCAGTGATTTGTTCCAGGAAGAAACAGACGTTACAAGCCAGCGTGACTTCAGTGCAGATACGGGACGCTGTTTTGTGTGTGTGTGTGTTTTTCATTTATTACTTTTGAGGTCCTGTCTTCCCTTCTCCAGTGTGGTTTTTAGAAAACTGCTGTAGGTGGATAACACTCGACACTGCTTTGCTATCTTAACTGGACTGTATTACGCCCATCTTGTTTCTATTTATGTAAGACTATTTCGGCATTTTTTTTTTTTTACATTTTATGCCATTACAGGTTTGTGAAACTAACTAACTGGATAACACTCTTGCCCTGACCTGGGGTGACCCAGGCGAGCCCGATCTCATCAGATCTCGGGAGCTATGCAGGGTCGGCCCCGGCCAGTACTTGGATGGGAGACCAACAAGGAAGTCCAGGGTTGCTATGCAGAGGCAGGTACTGGCAAACGACCTCTGGAACATCTCTTGCCTTGAAAACCCTACAGGGTTTCTATAAGCTGCTACCACTAAATATATCATCAATCTTTAGTTCTCAGCCTCCCCTTTTCCCTGACAGTCCCGGGGGGGGGGTGGAGGGGGGATCCCAATCTGTGCCCTTAGAATGAAGCAACCTACTTCCTGTGACCCATCACAGAGCACTCGCTGACCCATCCTTCCAGCACAGCGTACCTCTCGGTAGGTTTTCACTATCCCCGGGATATCGTGGAAGACTGTCGCTTTCCCAGAATTCTTTGCAAACGCTGCTCCAGTTGTCATATCTAGCTCAAGGACATCGTTGGGTGAGATTTGCCATGTCCCAGGTTCCCCTAAAAGATGAAGGCAAACAAAGAACAATGCCCCCCCCCTTTATATTTTCATTCTTCCTCCATTCTATTTCACAGATCCCATGAACATAAGGAACCATGTGGTCTAGTAGACAGGACTGTAGATATGGATTTAATCAGATCAAATCCCACTGCAGAGAAGACCTGTCTGGGGGACCCCGGGTGTTCCCCTCTGAGCCTTAGTTCCTCTGCCTGTAAGCTGGGAAGAGTTACTTTGGGGGGATATGGGGTTGTGAACAGGAACAAATGCAGGGCTATTTTTGGGCAGGAACGCAAAGGAACGGAGTTCCGGCTGGCTCCCAAGTTGGCCACGCCCAGCAGGAACTCATTAGCATGATAGGCCACACCCAACAGCAGGAACTCATTAGGATTAGCTACATTAGGGGTGTGTGGCCTAACATGCAAAGGAGTTCCTGCTACAAAAAAAGGCCCTGGGTTTGGACAACAAACAAGGTAAACAGAATAACAAGCAAAAGGTGGGTGTGGCTGGATGACCACACTTCTGGTAACGTGGGGGTGCGGCCTAATGTGCTAATGAGCGGTGCTGCCAGGGGTGTGGCCTATTATGCTACAGAGTTCCTGCTGTTGGGCGTGGCCTATTATGCTAATGAGTTCCTGCTGGGCTTTTTCTACAAAAAGAGCCCTGATAATGTAAAACTTCCAAATGCTTTTCATGTTACAGGAGATGTGCAAATGATTAGCATCAGCCAGCCCCTTCTGCAGTGGCCCGGTAGCCCAACCTAGCCTGATCTTGTCACAACTCACAAGCTAAGCAGGGCCAGCCATGAAGAAGGCGGCCAGGGCAAACCACCTCTGCTCACTCCTGACCTTGACAGACCAAGGGTCTGATTCAGTCTACGGCAGCTTCGTGTGTATTCATCTGAACAGGACTGGCTACTTTCACCTAAACCTGAGCTTGACGTAAAAATGTCACCCTCCACGTAGGACCTGGGGATCCCCTGGAATTACAGCTCATGTCCAGACGACAAAGAATAGCTCCCCTGGAGAAAATGGATGCTTCGGAGGGTGGGCTCTATGGCACTGTACCCCACTGAGGTCCCTGTCCTCCCCAGGCTCTATCCCCAAATCTCCAAGAGTTTCCCAGTCTGGATCTGGCACCCCTACCACCACCACCCCATCGCCTGCTGGTGGCCGGGGCGGGGGTAGACCCTTTTTCTCTTTGATACCCCCACCTTCAAAGTGCTGTGAGTCTGGCTAGGTGACTACCAGGGGTGGGACATTTTCTGTCGTGGCCCCACACTCAGGGAATGCCAGCCTCATGCCTATTAGACTAATGCCTATAGTCAGGGGTCATTTCGTAGAAAAAGAGGTGCAGGAGCTCATTAGCATAACTCATTTGCATGTGCCACACCCCCTGACATCACCAGAAGTGTGTCGGAAGGCAACACCCACCGCTCAGGCTCCAGTGGACTGTTTTGGATTGCTAGCTATTGGGGGGGGGGGTTTAACGTGCAGATCTGTCATCACAGAGTAAGGAGAGCTTGTACCTGAATAAAACTTGGTCTTAAAGGGGCCACTGGACTGTTTTGGACCAGGGGACCGGGGGGGGGGGCTCTGCAACTTACCTGGCTGCTTCTTGCTCTGACTGAGGGCTGCTGGGAGCAGGGGGTGGGCCTTGTTGCATGTGCCCGCCCCCTGGGCTCTTTACTGTCCGAGCTCTGCTCCTGTGCACTCCTGCAGGAAATGACCCCTGCCTATAGTGATGGCTGGCAGGATCCAGCTCAGGGGTGGCCAAAATGTGACTCGGGAGCCACATGTGGTTCTTCACACATATTGTGTGGCTCCCGGCAGGGCGGCTGGGGAAGTGAAGGGGAGACATGCCTCCCTGATCAGTCTTCCTTTTCTCAGCCAGTGTTCCCCTCCCTGGATAGGCTCGAGGTGGGGGTGGGCAAGGAAAGAAAGAAACTTTTAAATTATTTCTTTTCGTCTTTCTCTGCCTTCCTCCCTCCATCTATTTGCTTTTTTTGTTCCTGTTTCTCTCTTTCTCTCTACCTCTTTCATTCTTTCTACCTCTCTCTCTTAGACAAATAAATATCATTAGCAAACAAATAAATATCACTGGACAGATAAATATAATCATCGATACCTGTTTTTACCCCCATTTGTTTTTATTTTTGGCAGTCTCATTTAATGTTAATAAAAACCAAATGTGCGTATTTTCCAATAAAAACGTACGTGTAATATTTGTTTACGACTTGTGGCTCTCAAACATCCGACATTTATTCTATGCGGCTCTTACATTAAGTGAGTTTGGCCACCCCTGCTCCAGTTGAAGACACTGTTATTCCCTTTCCCCCAAGACGTAATTAGCCTTTAATTCCCTGAAATGATGTTGCCTTTAAATGTGATGGTTTGTGTACTTTATATTTTAGTATGTTAATGTATTAGGTTTAAACTTAATGGGGGTTTACTTCAGCATGTACGTGCTTTGGATGGCACTGTAAGCTCCCTGCTGATTCTGAGTGCAGAATCAATAAGTGTTGTGTTTTGCAGTTTACTGGAGTAAAAGAGTCCTCTCCCATTCAAAGCCAGAAGACTGCGGCTTGTATTTCTGCAACTGAGACAGCCCCCCTCGGAGTTCACGCAGGGCAATTTTAAGGGTGGCTGATTAAAGAGAAAGGCTTGCCTGAGTGGGGTAATGGGTGTGTGGGGGGGGAGTGTGACGGAACATGCTCAGCATTCCAGCAGATGTGCTCTGGGATGTTCTTTTGTCTCAAAGACGCAACCCAGGCCTAATTTGCTACGTGTGCGCAATACATACAGGCTGTAAAACGGGGGCTGACGAACCAGAGCCTGGCTCCGTTATGTGCAAGAGTTTTTTAAACAGACATTGTGCAAGGAGGGCTTCTTCATTCCCATCTTCCCTTGCCTGCAGCAAGACATGGACGGGGTAACAACCAAGCAGTTGCCATTGCCCTGGGGGGGAGAGGGTGGGGATCAGAAGCCCTGGGGGGAGGGAAGGAAGTTTTATTAGAGTCAAGACCTAGGCTTACAGATGGAAAGAGGTAGTCTAGGGGAGGGACCGTGGCTCAGTGACAGAGCATTTCCTTGTCATGCAGAAGGTCCCTGGTTCAACCGCTGGCAGTTAAGAGGGGTTCCTCAGGGGAACAGGTTTCCTTGGGAGGTGGTGGCCTCTCCTGCTTTGGAGATTTTTAAGCAGAGGCTAGATGGCCATCTGACAGCAGTGCTGATTCTGTGAACTCGGACAGATCATGAGAAGGGAGGGCAGGGAGGGTTGCATCAGTGCTTAGTTCTCGTGGCCCTTTCTTACACGCCCAGGGAAATGCCGATTTTGGGGTCAGAAAACAATTTTCGCCAGGCCAGTTTGGCCAGGGATCTTGTAGGTTTTCCTTTGGGCATGGAGAAGGGGTCGCTGGTGGTGTCTGTGTGGCGGAGGTAGTTGTGAATGTCCCGCAACGTGTAGGGGGTTGGACTAGAGGACCCTGGAGGTCCCTTCCAACTCTATGGTTCTATGTCCAGTTAAAGGATCAGGTAGCAAGTGATTTGAAAGACCTCTGCCTGAGAGCCTGGACAGCTGCTGCTGGTCTGAGTAGACAAGACTGACCTCGATGGACCGAGGGTCTGATTCAGTACAAGGCAACTCCATGCGTGTTCATGTTAGAATCATAGAGTTGGAAGGGATTTCCAGGGTGATCTAGTCCAATGCAGGTAAGCCGCCCTGAGCCTGCCTGCGGCGGGGAGGGCGGGATAAAAATTGAATAAATAAATAAATAAAATTCACAAATGTTGATCGCCACTTTGGGGTCAGGAAGCACTTTTCCTCCAGGCCGCTTTGGCCAGGGATCCTGGAGATTTGTGTTCCTGTGTGGGGTGTGAAGGGGGGTGCGGTGGGGGGGGGGGGGGGGAGGTGTTTGTGAATATCCTGCATTGTGCAGGGGGTTAGACTAGAGGACCCTGGAGATCTCTTCCAGCTCTATGATTCTACGTGTCTGTCACCAGCAGACCCACCTCCCTGGGACAACAGCTAGTTGTTTGTTTATAAATCTGATTTCTAAACCAACCTCCCCCATGCTTGGGGTGCAGGGTGCAGAGCAGAGTATCCCCAAAACAGCTGTGTTTCAGTTGCTGGATGGAAGAGCTCATTGACCCGCCACTGCCCAACGGAGGCCATGTTGGCCAAAGACCGCCCCACTGACCTTCCTGGTTGACGAGGGGTGTGTTGAAACACGCCACGTCCCCCAGAGCAAGCGGCTCCGAGAGGTCTGGCTCAATGGCGTGCTCCACGGGGACGGGGACGTAATCCGCCATGCCGGGGTGCTTCTCGTCCCACACGCCCACCAGGGTCGTGCCCCTGTTCACAGCTTGAGCGATGTAGGTGTAGTTCTTGTTGCTGGGACGGATGAGGAGGAAGTCATCCCTGGAGACGGAAAAGGAGAAATCTGTAAAAACGGGGCGATGGCTCCCACACAGGGGTCTTTGCCCAACAGTGTCATCACAGAGATGGTAGATTCAGGTGGCAGCAGCCGTGTTGGTCTGAAGCGACAGAACAAAGTCTGACTCCAGGGGCACCTTTAAGGCCAACAAAGTTTTATTATTCTGGGTATGAGCTTTCATGTGCATGCAACACTTCTTCTTTTTTTTATGCCCCCCATAGGGGATTTTTTAATTCGCGTTTTCTATAAACTACAAACCATAAAAAAGTACAACGAAATCAGGGCAGGGAACTACATACTATAGGTGAAAGTAAAGAAAACCCACTAAAGACCCAAGAGATGGTGGTCATACGAACTGCTTAACAATATTAGCTTGTAGCACATAATTCAATTCGAGTTCATTGAATGTGGTCATCTAACAATCCATTTATGCTAATAATATGACTTTAAACACCTCTACTTCTGACTTCTAAAAAAAAAGCAATTTAAGACTTATAACAATACATTTTAAGAGCTTTCAGAGTGTGATAACATCTTATTTTTTTATACTTTGGCTTTCTCAAATGATAGCTTGTCTTTGGGGCAGTTGCCCCTAGTTTAGAAGAAGAGAAGAAGAAGAAGAGATTGGATTTATACCCCGCCCTTCACTTGGAGTCTCAGAGCTGCTTACAAACTTCTTTCCCTTCCCCTCCCCACAACAGACACCCTGTGAGGTGGACGGGGCTGAGAGAACTCTGATGCAAACTGCCCTTTTTCAAGAACAGCTGTGCCAGAGCTTGTGACTGACCCAAGGTCACATCAGCAGGTGCAAGAGGAGGAGTGGGGACTCAAACCCGGTTCTCCCAGATTAGAGTCCGCGCACTTAACCACCACACCAAACTGGGTCTCTGAGTCTTCATCTGAGGATGCCACTTCTCCTTCTTCTTCACTGCCTTCGGTGCTGTCCTCTTTCTCAACGTCAATCTCTCCTGATGGACGACTATGTAGACGCAGAAATTCTCGTGCCTTTTCAACAGAGTCAATTTTTTCTTTCCCATCCATAAATTTGAAGATTATCCCTTCAGGTACTAACCATCTGTAGGGGATGTTTTTCTTTTGTAAAAATGTCACCAACACTTCTTTTCCATCACCTGTAATAGTTTTTTAAGCTTTTTAGTGTTGGTATCTACTTCTTTTACTTCTTGTTCAGTTTTGTCTGGTTTTTTGGCTATTTTAGACAATTGCAATTGCTGTGCGTCGAATTTGCTGTGCAATGCTGTCACTTGTTCCAGCAGGGGTCTGGGTTCCAGCAATACTTCTGTCAGCATCTTTTGTAACTCCGTAGTTGTGTCCTGTCTAGGAGCAGGACTCGCTGGACCTGTAGTTCCGGCAAGAAGTTTTGGTTTTACTTGTTTGTCTTTCTCACCCTTCCTCGTGGGCGCCATGTTTGATATTGTTTACAATTTCTCCAAGTTATTACAATCTCTGATTCTCCTAGCACAGCTTAGTAAGTTCTTAAATGCTTTTAGTTTCAGTCTCTCTTGCTTCAATGTTCCACCCCCTTTTTACAAATGCAAAGTTCGCTTAGTGTCTTTTCTTATCAGTGGAGAGTCCCCCCCCCTTGTTTTAAAGGGTGGGTTTCTGCTGAAGTTTTTGGTGATTCTTGCTTAAAAATCCAACTCACATTTCAGTGCTGGATCCGCTTTTTCTTGCAAATCACTTGGCCACCAAACATTTGCTTCGCTGTGCGCCTCTAATTCCCATACGGGACGCACTGCGGCAGGACCTTCGGGGCATGGAGAAAGCCCCTCTTCGCCGGCAGGGTAGCCGGAGGAAGAGCCTTCTTGTGCCCCATGGCTAGGAGCCTCCTACAGAGGCTCCAGGGGTGGCGCGGACAATCACGCCTCCTCCTTACCGCGGGCTCTGGCATGCCTCCTCTACCGCGGGAGAAGCGACTGCCATGGCGAATGCCAAAACCGGAAGTCCTTGCGACACTTCTTTAATGTGTGCACATGAAAGCTTATACCCAGAAATAAACTCTGTTGGTCTTAAAGGTGCCTCTGGACTTGAACTTTGTTCTACCACAGATGGGACCTCTGAATGCTGATAAATGCTGTGGAAGCATTAATGTTCAATGTGAGCAACAGCATTTAAGTGTCCAGTGCTAAGTGATACTAGAACCTGAGAGCATCCAATGATGGGCACTAGGTTCAGGAAGGACAAAAGGAAATACTATTTTATTCAGAGAGTGATTAAAAGGTGGAATTCGCTGCCAATGGAGGTAGTGATGGCCCAGGAATAAACAGCTTTGAAAGGGGATTAAATAGATTCTTGGAGGATAAGTCTATCAATGGCTACTAGCTATGCTGGCTGAGGGGAACCTCTACATTCAGAGGTGCTAATCCTCGGAATCCCAGAGCCAGGAGGCAACACCAGGGGAAGGCCTCAGCCTCTCTGCCCTGTTGTTAGCCCTCCAGAGAAACTGGTTGAGGCCACTGTGTGAGAGAAGATAGTGGACTAGATGGACCACTGGTCTGATCCAGCAGAGCTCTTCTTCTGTTCTTATGGAGAACCAGTCTGACAATGAAGCTTAATCTCTGGATGACTCTCAGCCTGGTGTGTGAGAACCTTCTCCATTGAAAACTATTGGGCTTGGAGAAGACACAGAACAATACTGAAGTCCTACATGGGATGGATTCATCTGAGTTGGAAGAATCAATGAGGAGAACTCTTGTGAGGGGACCAACTGGCAGTTTAAAAGATTGTGACAAGGTTTTGGGCTTCACTGCAGAATTCCAACTAGGTATATTTAGAATATTCCCTTGGTCTGATATAGACTTATGTGACAGTCAAGAAGTTTCAATATCAGGTTGGTCCAAAAGAAAGAACCATTTCATGGATTCCTAGGGCCAACAGTGTGGCCTGCTGGGAGAAGCAGCACAAGGTCATATGGATGCAATGTGGCGTCTATGGATTGGTAAAGAGAATGCACTTCCTGTGGGCCTGCCTACTGTAGGAAGCGCTAGAGCTCCCAAATGATTTTTAATTGATTACAGCTGCTTTTAAAAGGAAACATATGGAATAAAATGCTTTGGGTCTCCTCCTGGAGAATTAACACCCTGCTTTAGAGACCTAAAATGCTGTAATTGCAAATCTTTTTTGACATGTTTTCAGCTCTGAAATAAAAGGAGTGTCTTGTGATGTGCAGCCAATTTTGAAGACTTATCGAGAGCTCTAAATTTATAGTTATGAGAATCGCTATGTGTTCCTTTGAAATGCAGGTGTTTGGCTTAGGTCAGGATGACCTAACACCATTAGCCAGCTAAGGTGAAACATTTTGAAGCAGCTTTTCTGCTCTGTAGAAGGCAGCTTTCAATAGGGGCTTGTATCAGATGCTTTAAGCAACGTTTTTCTCTATAAATATATATATATGTACTGTAGATTTTATACTTTGAGAAGTATATAACAAACCTTTGCTTACTAGAAGGCATGCAATCATTGCTAATTGCTCTCTCCTTCCTTTAAAAGGGAAAAGCTTAAGCCTAATAGAAGTGAAGACGTTTTCCTGAGTGCTGTATAGTAATTCTACTCTGCATTTTTAACTATAATAGCAGAACGCTGTGCTTAATGAATTGAATGTTGGCAATTCTAATTAGAAAGAAACTATTGCCAGTGCTAAGAAAAAGGACAGTCATGTATGTATTGTAACAGAGAGAAATCTAAATGCTTTGTTTGTAACACTTTAAATATAGATTGTGTATAAGATATTGGTAAAACGCTAAAGCTTCAATTCTAAGTTCTGTTAGTATAAAACAAAGAGAGATGCCTGCCTGAAGAGAAATGCTTTTAAGGAATTGTGCTTAAAGCCAAATTAAAAGGGCTAACGAAAAAGGTTTGGGAAAAACAGAGTCATTAATTATGTCCTTTGAAGCTTAAGGGAGTGATCCAAATACTAAAGTTCAGCCGAAAGAAAGTGATTAATTATATACTATGCTTTTAAGTTTTTAAGGAGTATTATGTCACAGAGACAAATGGTGTACAGTCTGACAATTAGGAAGACACAGGTGCGCATGAAGTCATGACTTTTGGCAACGATTAAAAGAGTCAATTATTTGTATTACAGAACAGTGTCTCCTACAGGCCGAACTAAGCTATTACTAGTATCAATTTCAATCTTTAACACCAGTAACATTATAAAATGACCAGAAATAATTTTGTAAAATGTTCTGATAAACCAAAATGAATAATAAATGTATAGATTAATACTTTTAGAAGAATTTAATGCTACATGGTATTTTGAAACATTAAAAGAATTTATGTAAAGAGCTTAATGCTTTAGAATGTCAGTGTGACAATGTTTTTTATATTCTGTGTACTTGCAAGAGAAAATAAGTTTTTAAAATGCTTTTAAGATACCTTTATATGTATGTATTAAGTGAAATGCTTGAATGATATGATGTCCTTATCTGAAGTACACATCTTTGCCCTGCTCAAACAGAGATTAATTGATATTGAGATGCAAGAGCTTAGAGCCTTGGCTTCTGGTAGATGCTCCCCTTTAAGATGGGCACGTTTTCCGATCAACACCCCTGCACAATACTTATCGGATTTGACTTCTCCACAGCTGCGTAGAGCATTTATGCTGGCCCGCTTTAACGTGCTCCCCTCTGCGGTTTTAGCAGGAAGATTTAAGAAAATCCCCTACTCTGTTAGGTTTTGTGATTGTGATTCAGAGGAGATTGAAACAATCGAACACGTATTCCTCCACTGTAGTTTGTATGATGACATTCGGGCAGTCTATCTAGAAGCCATACTTAAGAAAGATGTCAAACAATCAGATGACAGAATGTTGTACCGTTTATTGGCTTCACAAAATACAGTGGTTATTGAAGCGGTGGCTAATTTCTGTAACTGCCTTATAATGAGGAAGTTATGTGTTTAATCAATGAACTGAAGGGTGACTGTTTATGACTCTGATCCATGCCAATAAAGGTTTTGAATTGAA